TATACTATAGTAGTTTCCATTTCCTGTTCCATTACCCCAAGATCATTCTCAGGGTGCTGTCCGATAGGGTTTAGGGTTTAGGGCGAAAGGATCTCGTGTACAAAGCAAGTAAGTGGATCTGACAAAGATGTGACATGATGGTGGCTGACATGCAAGGGATAGGACCAGCCTTCCAACCAGAAGAAGACGCAGCGAATGCAACAATCCCATTTAACAGAAAACCCCTACCTAAATATTTGGTGCCGTATTACAATAGGGATCCACAAAGGGACTATAATTTTGACAACCACCTATATGCTCCACTTAAGTAACAAGGACATATAGCCCATGACGCTACGTATCGTTCTGATTCCGATGCTTCCGAAAAGTCACCCAAGCTGTCGCGGCCTTGAGGACTTTCGTGGAGGCGTTCAATGCGGAGGCCTGGTCAAGGCACTTAAGACAGCAGGGAAAAGGAGGAGGAGGAGGAGGGTGGTCTCTCCATCCACGTCTTGCAGACTTTGAGACATTGCACATTAGTACAGGGGGCCTAATTAATTACCAGTACCATTTTGAGGTCCATTCGAGGTACCATAGACCATGATTAGACAAGGAATATGGAACCATAATATTGGCAATTGTTTAGGTCCCTATATTACCTGCATCCCCGGCCGCATGTCTGACAGTCTGCGGATTATGACCTTACGGTGAGCAGGTGCCCTTCCATGTTTTAAAGTCCCGGCCTCTGGCTCCAGAGCTGCGAGTTAGCAAGACGGGGAAGCTTTGTAACAAGCCTGACTTTTTGACAACAGAATGCGCGTCTACCTATTGGTGGTCCTAGTATTGAATATCCGTTACTTTGACACCATGGGTCAGGGGGGCTATAAGTATACATACGAACTGCCTCTGAATCTCCCAGCATGCTGAGGCCATGACAACTGACTGCAGCCGCTCCTCGTTCTCACCCTTGCTCAAACTGGGCGAAGGTTGCAAACGGCAACCCTATGACTTAGGGTTCATGGGCTCGTCATGAGGATGACTGACAAGCAACCATGCATGGAAATATAACATGAAGAACTGCTGGCTCATGATGCTGATACGTCATTGCTGTGGATATTAACTTTGCCCGTGCAGGCTTCCTCAAAGACGTGGTCAATCATGTAAGGGCTTTGCTGTCCTGATCGCTGCTTAAGCAACGAACTTACTTGATCCATAACTCGCGCATCAAACAGTAATGAAACTTGAGTTCGTACATGCACGGCTCTACGAAAAAATCTCTTGGGTCCTTGGTTCGGCACTTGCATTGTCATCATGGTCGCAATGACATACAGGTGGCCCCAATCACTGTGCACACGCCATCTGCGCAGCCTTGTGTATCCCAAGTCGGTCAGAGGCTTAACAGAGTAACCTACTGACTAAGTCCCCCTGACCCTCCAAGTAGACCCTAAACCCTAAGCCCTAAATAGTACTTTCCATTTATCCCTATGTAGCTTCCGAGGGGTGGGAGCTTTTTTGAGGGCATCCAGTTTAACCTCACGTGAATCTCTCTATAAGCCTCACACGATCACAGTTTCCATTCCATTTTCTAGTTGATTCCCCAACATTTGTTGTGTTTAGGCTCCTTAATCCTTTACAGCCCCCACATCTTTTGGCACCTTAACCCTAAACCCTAATCACCTTAACCCAGAAGCCCCCCCGGTTCGAGGTCAGCGCCCCCAATAGTCTGCTGTGCTCGACATCCCTGCCGGAAACGACGAGCCTATCATGGCGAGCACTTTCAACGTGGTTCCTTCAAAGGGGCTACCCAAACCCCCAAAAGGATGAGATCCCCTAGAACCATATGGGAAATTTTGACATAAGGATTATATAAGGGTTATGATGGGTCTATTTAGGGGATCTAGTTTTTAGATCCTCCCAGGGTTCTGGGTATTGGCTGTAGAGTATGTGGTATGTGCATATATGTATACATATATGTATATACACGGTTATATAATGGAGGGTTTTTGAGGTCTATAGGGGGCTAAGTAATAGAATCATGGGCTTGGGATTTATCATCTCATGCTTACAAGGATTATGGGGAGATAGGACTTATTCGTCATGCAATCATACCTTGACTTCCTACTCCTGAGCCGTCAAATCTTGGGCAAGTGAGACACATGCTCTGAGCGCTGCCTGGACCCTGGATGTCACTTGTCTGGGTTGCTGTTTATAAGGAAGTTAAATTAACCTTAATATGCGCACATGATAAGTAATTAATTTGATTAACACAGTAACCCATCTCTGGAGGATTTGCCTCATAAGTATGCAGGACCCAACCCAGCAACCGAAAGACATACAAGGTTTACTGGTGGTTCGTTTAGGGTTTAGGGCCAAGAAGAGATCATTGATAACACGCTTCCTTAAAAAGGGATCCTAACCAAAAAGGGAACCAAAGTTATGACTATTTTGGGTGCAGGTAGCTTGAACAACTGCCACATGCACCTCAAACCCCAGCCCTGAGTCCTCACATAGGGGTTTAGGTTTCAGGTTTTAAATAATTGCCAATATCATGTTGAGGTCTGTTTGAGGTACATGCGGACAGTAGTCGTTAGCGTTTGAAGTGAGACGGAATGTGTTTTACACTCAGCGGTCAGAGCTTTAGTTACAAGTCACCTAAGTGGACGGCAGGAAATGCAGGGAGTGGCTTACTTGATTTTGTCAAGGATGTGCTGAATGTCTTTCAAGATGGTGTCAAATTGATCAAGCCAATCAGCTGCAAGCGACTCTGATAAGGCTCCAGGAGAAGGACAGGTGCGCGTAATTTTACTAGGTTCAACGCAGAATCGCATAAATGTATGGCAGAAAAAGCAGGATTCATTTCCGCTCCAATTGGGCTGGACAATATGCGGTTTCGGGCTAGCATCTAACATT